TTAGTAATCTGAATTGACCCTACCATTTTTGCTCTTTCAATGGCACGACCATCAAGATTCAAGAGCTTTCCGGTTTCCACCAGAGATGAGATTTTTCTTCTTCATTCAATGCAACCATTCGGTGCTTCTCTCTCTCGATCTCTATATGAACTCTCCAAGAGAGAATTCTCTTCCTCAAAAATAAACTGCAGCCATGGCACCTCAACCTCACCACCTCAACCTCATCATCATCTTGTTCACCTTGATTTTGGTATTTAAATTTGCATATTCTCGCCCACTTAAATCAAACCTCACAGAAGAAAATGAATCGGAAAAGATGGTGAATATTAACTTCAATTTGAATAACAACAGCAACAACAACAAGCAGGAGGCGAAGAAGATGAACCTTAAAGATATGAAAGACTTGCCGTCGTTTCCACTTCCTGACAACATCCCATTTTTACCTCCGTTGCCAAACTTGCCTTTGCCGCCTCCATTGCCAAACTTTCCATTTCCACCGCCACTGCCTCAGTTTCCATTTCCTCCCAACCCATTTAACATGCCATTGCCACCGTTTCCTTTTACTTTTCCATTGCCTCCCTTTCCCTTCAATTCACCTCCTGCTCCATAAAGTGCTGTCCAAAGAATAAAAAAAGTTAAACAGCTCCGAGTGATTCAGTCATGAAGCTTAATTGACTTCAATTACTACTGCTTTTCTAGCTAGCCTGCTTGGTCTTCTCTTTTCTTTCATGCGCATTGTAATTTCCACGTTCTTATTTTTCCTTTTTTCTTTTTCGTAAAAAAAAAAAAAAAAAAAAAAAACTTGTTTGAGAATGTTCATGTTTTAATTTCTTTGTTATTTAATTTGTTTTGTTTAATGTTTTAGATGGATATGTATAACATTAGTTGTATTTGTTGATACGAAAATTCTCATCAACTTGAGAGAATCGATTAACCTCAACGGAATCAGAATAGATGAATGCATAATTTAAGATAAACTAACAATTGAATGTAAAATACGGTAAAATAAACTAATAAAGAACACAAAAGGAATTTTAAGTGGCTCGGCAAGTTAGAACTTGAACTTACATCCATTGTTATCTTTTAAGGTTTACAATAACAAGTATAACATACTTAAACAAACTTGTTGACCCCTCTCTCTTCGTTTGAGGGGGTTTTTATACAAATTGTGATTCATGGAAAGAGAGATAAGTTTGGGATTACAATCAGAGTTGATTTGCAATCATGGAATCTTCATGATTAAGCGTTGAGATTGCGTTGCCAGTGGTGTTGATCTTATCCATTCTGAAATATCTGAGATTGAAACTTACCTTTGATTTCGTTGAATAACTGTTTGAATTGGTCGTTGTGATGAGCTTCACTTGAGTCGAGCTTACTCTGAATCGAACTTATTATAAGTCGAGCTCGCTTTTGGGTTGAGCTAATTCTGGGTCAAACTATCTCTGTACAAGTTTTTGGATCTGCAAGCTCTTATGGCAAATCACACACAACAATATATTAAACAAATGATTAATGTAAGTGTAGAATATAAAAAATCTTCGTATCAAATAAACTATATCTTATAGAATAATATTATTATCATCCAATTAAGTAAAGAAATCATTTTATTAAATTTATATCATGTGTGATATGACTTGATGATTTTAAAATTTAAATCTAACCGTGCAAAAACTTAAAACTTAGTTTGGGGTTGTTGTAACTCTTTTAATATTACTTATGAGTTAACTATAGAAATATTCAAAGTTTCTGCTACTGCACCACCGCTACTGCCACCTTCACTGTCATAGCCACCGCTGCCTCCGCCGTCACCGCTCTCTCTTTTGAACTACCTCTTTTCAAAAGAGTAATACTATACATACATCATTTTCATATAACATTATGTGGCAAGATATGATTGGCTAATTTAAAGTTAAAATTAAAATTTTATCAAATCATATCTTGCCACATAATATTGTATGAGAAATATTGTATGAGAATGATGTATATGTAGTATTATTCTTTTCAAAAACTCTTTCGCATAATTTTTTTTGGTTTTGGAAATTGGTATTTTGCATCTGCTTGTTTTCGGAGAAATAATTAGAAAGTCATCAAGCAGGGGCGGACCCATTTTGGGCCCAGTGGGGGCGGCTAAACCCACTGAGCCCAACTGAGCATTCAAATCTGCATATATATTTTACATTTAAAAAAAAATAATGTGAGTTAATTTAAGTTACTTTGACCCCACAAATCATTGGAAATATTTCTCTATAAAATAATTGTAGTCTAAGCAAAATTTATTAATAGATGTTATTTAAAAGAATTAAATGTCATATCTCATTTTGTTTTCTTATTTTATACATTTGTGCTTTAAAATGGACCAAAAACATTTAAAGATAAAAATTTAATCTTAGTGTATATACATTAGTAATTTATAATAATAATATTATCAATTTAAATTATTATTAAATCGTAATAAAGAATCTAAAAATTATATCATAATGAAATTATTAAATATTACTTTAAGTAAAATTTAAAAAAAAAAAAAGCATTAAGGATGTTTGTAAATATATTTAAAAAATATATAATGAATAATTATTTATTATTTATTATTCATATTTTTATACATAGTTGCCCTTGCCCCTGCTGAGGTAATTGTTCGGGTCTGCTACTGTCGTCAAGTTGGCATAATTTATTTTTAAGGTTTATTACTTTAGTTCTATTTTTATTAATTAAATAAAATTAACAAGTTTCAATTTATAAGTGGCGTGTGGTACCGATTCACACGGTTGTATTATAGATTTCCTCTAACTTTAAAACTACTTATGATTTTAGGAAATAAGATATTACCAATACAAAAAAACCAAAATAAGTATTTTCAAATAAGCTTTTCTATTATTATTAAAATATATTGAATTTAATTTCTTAAATAAAAAGTTAAAATTTAAAAAATCCAAAAATTGCCACTGGTGATGGTTGGCCATAGTTCCTTGAAAATATTTTTCAGGCATGTGAGGTTATACCACTGGCATCATTTAAATCATTGGCTGGTAATCTACTTAATAATGTTAGGGGTTTGCTCAAATCAGCTAGCGTTACTCCGTAACAAAACGGAGAATTTCGATGACAATTTTCAAATCATTGCGGCGAACCACCTAAACCGTATGTTTTGTTTATGCAAGAAACTATAGTTGTCTTTGCATTACAAGCTTGTTATATTTAATTATTTAGATAAGGGATTATGTGATTTAATCTTTTGACTTCAATTTTTGACACTCTTGGTAAATCGTTTATCTTTCTTGATCTCACGGTATCCAAAGATGCTAAGTTGGCATTGACCTTGATTACCTTAATCCTTTATCTTATCACCGTTGGATCAACAATGATCAACGTCTCACAAAAAGTGTCAAAATTTAAATGATATTGATATTGATATTAAAGTCTAATGTTGATTTGCTTAATTTTAAATATGGTGTTTCCTTTACTATTAAACATATATAAGGATCCATTTGATATAGAATTTAAATACAGTTTTTTGTTTTTGAAAATAAAGAATACAACAAATCTTATAAAAATGCATTTGGTAAAAACGGGTAGAATTGTTTTAAAAAAAAAAAAAAACAGTTTTTGAATACAATCCTAAAAACTAATATAAAATTAGAAAACGATAAAAAGTTGTTTTAATAGTTTTCTACCACTTTGAATCTGAAAACAATTTTTAAATTTTATATCAAAACACTTTTTCAAATATTAAAAATATTAAAATACAAGTTTTTGAAAATTATTTTTGAATCACAAATCAAACAAGCCTAATATTCTTATTGTTTTCTCCAAGGATCCATTTACATGATCCTTATTTACTTTATTGAGGAGATTTCGATCGTATTTAAGAATTTAGATATATATTTTTTTAAACAAATTTCCCTAAATTTTTAAGAATTTTGTGATATATTTCTATCTTTAGCAACATGTAATTATTATTTCCCACCTTCCACCACCGCTGGAAGGTGGCCTAAATCTGTCGTAATGGCGTACTATTGGCTGGATCTGACTAGTAGTGTGTCGATTTAGCATTTTCGGCCAGATCTACAGCCAAAGATTTAGTTGTTGACAGCCAGATCTTTGGCCGTCGTTGAAAATAAAACACCAGATCTGACTGTAGATCTAGCCGAAAAAGACCATATTGGAGCATGAATGGCTAAATCCAGTTGGTCGTACGCCATTACGGTGATTTTCGGCCACCCTCCGGTGGTAGTGGATGGCTGCCGACATTTAATGCGTGGGTGGAGGTGTTTTTGTTAATATTCAATGTTTTATTGTAAGGTGTTTAGCTAAATTAACAAACCTATGAGTGTTTTTGTTAGTTTTCAAATCCTACCTCTTAATAACCATCCAACTCAACTTTTTCAAAAATTCTACCCAAAATAATAAAACAAACACACCCTTAATGATTCACAAACAATTCATTAAGGGGTGTTTCTACTATTTTGGAAAATTTAAGATAATTTTACTTAGGGGGATTAATGTCATTAGCTCTTACAAATATAATATAAAAATAATGGGAAATCAATTAGAATTGGATCCAATGAGTGGTGGGGCAGTGGGAGCCAATGTTTTATTGTAGGGGTGTTTAGCTAAATTAACAAACTTAGGGAGTGTTTTTGTTAGTTTTCAAATCCTACCTCTTAATAACCATCCAACTCAACTTTTTCAAAAATTCTACCCAAAATAATAAAACAAACACACCCTTAATGGTTCACAAACAGTTCATTAAGGGGTGTTTCTACTATTTTGGAAACTTTAAGACAATTTTGTTAGTATGTCATAACTTAGGGGGATTAATGTCATTAGCTCTTACAAATATAACATAAAAATAATGGGAAATCAATTAGAATTGGATCCAATGAGTGGTGGGGGCGGTGGGACTTAAAAAAAAATAAAAAGTGAAGGGCATTGAGGTAAATACGACATAAACATAACGGCTAGTTAGACCAGTACCGTTGAATAAACGTGGCCGAGCCAAAGCACGCTCCCCGAGAACACTTCCTTCTTCCTTTGTTCTACGGAAACCCAAACCCATACGCAAAACACTCTGCACACACGCACATTCATACACTCAACTCTTTGCAGGGGGGAAGTTAGGGTTTCGAAAGATGAAGATCTTGAAGAAAACCATCAACATCTTCAGGAAGAAAACCTCTCCCAAAGGTACACTCTCTTCCTTTCTTTTTTTCACTCACTCTCATTTTTCTTTACTTTTAAGATTAGTTAAATTAACAAAGCTTTCTTTCAATCCTAAATGTTTTCGCAATGTGGGGGTTTTATGTTTCCTCTCCAGTAACGTTAGTTGGATCATCGTCCGATGGGGGCACTGGGGGGTTTCCCTAGTAATTGAGAGATCTCTCTGATTCTTTTTCTATTTTAGATTTAACAATGTCTAACTCTTAAAAGTTTCTACATTTCTCACTCAAACTCCCCAGTTAGCCCGTGGCGTTACCGGAATGACATTCTTCTTTATTTGCTACTGGGGTTTCACTCAAAAGTTTCTAGATAATGGTTACAGCCCATTGAGGTTTTACTTAGAAAATTTTCTTGTTTGTTGATGCATTTGTGCAGAGGCTTTAAGGGAGAGCAAGAGGGACATGGCCACTGCAACGAGAGGTATGAATGCTTTTCAATTTTCATGTCTTTTAAAATTGATTATCTCGATTAGTGTTGTATGTTGCTTTGTCCTGAAGAAACTTTGGATAGAAATTGACTTTGAAATTTGAGACATTGAATTTGGTTTTATCTGCTAAAATTTTACATGGAACATAACAGGAATTAAGCATTTCGATTCCAACATATTTGCATCAAGATACCTAATCTCATACCTGTGCTTGATGATTAATCCATAACAAAAAGGAATGGATGCGTTGATTAAAAAAAAAAAAAAAACAGAGAGATCAATTAAAAAAGTTTGTGTGTGTGTTTGCGGGAATGAACTACTCTCTGTGCTCAAACCGTATGAGACAAGTGAATTATCAACAAGCCATTCTTGAGGGTAAGGACCTCCTTTAAGTGGTAAGTAACAATGTGCCTCACTTATTATAGGTCTATAACATAAAACACATAAGGGTCACAGTACTAGATTAAGACACGCTTAATGACTTGTTTGACATAAGACTAATCCCTAATCAAACAAGTCTAGACACATGCTCTAAATTTTTTGTATTGATGTTTCAATTTGGTTTTGTTGCATAAATAAAAGAATACTTATGCTTCTCCTTGGAATTGTAATACAACAATATCCAAGCAAGGCAGCATACAACATGACACTTGCAATGAGGAACACCATAGTTATAGTTGATGAACTGATAAAATTATATAATGATTTAAATTGATGTTCCATGTACAAGTGTGATTAATGACATCGAAACTCTTTCTGGGGAATAATATAACCTAACCCTTTCGAGAGAGGCAGCAATATCATATGAAAATTTTTATTGAAAATGTTTGGAATTTTTAATGTCCGAGAAAGATCCTAGTCACAGAAGTCCACCACTTTCTTCTCTCTTGCCATAGACATTCTTTGATTGCCATAGTTACATAATGTTTCATTTTGTAGGAATTGAACGTGAGATTGCTTCTCTTCAGTTGGAGGTATGGTACTGCCACACAGAGTTTGAATTTCAATGAATTTTTCCAGTGATATTTCTTTTCCAAATTTTCACTCTGGTATTTGTTTTCAGGAGAAAAAATTGGTTGCGGAGATCAAAAAAACGGCAAAGACTGGAAATGAGGCAAGTTTGATTTTCAGTACAATTGTTGTCAAATGTTATTCTCACATATAGACATAGGCTGGCATTTATCTAATAAAGAGATATGATCACGGGATGAGTTGATTCTTTACTGTCCTACCTATGAGAGGTGCTTTTGTTTGCTTAAGTTGGGTTTTTATGGTTGTATATAGTGAGTTATTTTTAGGTCTGGATCGTTAATAATTTTTCCAGCTAAAGCATCATGATGTCATGACATGTAGATTCACATCCAGGAATACTGCACAGAAGCTAGACAACAGTGTTGTACAGAGCATATTCTTGTTTGTTTTGAAACTCGATTTACACAAATGGGAGGATCTGGTTTAATGGTTCTTCATGTTGTAAAGACAAAGACTCCTACCCTGTTTATGTGTCACATTATGTTATTTAATTCCAATTTGTGCTCATGATGTTACTCTTACCATTGAATTTCTGATTTCAGTTGTAACAAGGTTATCATGATCTTATTATTAACACACAAAACTTGAACATGAATAAATGATGGCTAAGAAGTGTAAGTTAAAATGCTCAACTTTCTTCAAAATGTTAGAATTCTGTCACAAAATGTGATAAATGAATAATTGGGAATAAGAAAATAGAAAGAACTAAAATAGAACAGTCTTGACACTTTTTGAACTGCCTTGTGCTTCAGGCGTAATGAGATGTGGACAAAAGACATACCTGAGAACCTTCATCGCTGGAAAATAAGAGCTACCTGAGCTAGTGTATTTGTAGTGTCCGGTAGTAAAACTATATATCATATGAAAAATGAATGTAAGACTTAAACATTATATTGTTATTGAATTTTTCGTTGATCACTCAGGATAATTTTTAAAAAATAACGTAGGATCTCTCCCTTAGAGATGGCTTAGCCATTGCATGTATTCTGGACTCGGTGACTTTGATTGTGGACTTACTCATAAGACCATCTTAGTAGTGGGCTCTCTCTCTGTGCACTAACTAAATTGCTTAACTAACATTCTAGAAATCTTAGCTTGATTTATGAAGTAGCTCCTTTTTCACTTTACTTATTACCTGTAAGTACTTGTCTAGGCTGCCACAAGAATATTAGCTCGTCAACTTGTTCGGCTACGTCAACAAATAACTAATTTGCAGGGAAGCCGTGCCCAAATCAGAGGAGTAGCAACTCATACACAGGTAATTACCACAAGCCAAATCTATTAACTAAAAGTAAAAAAAAAAAAAAAACAAAAAAAAAAAAAAAAAAAAAAAAAATTCTGTCTGGTATATTAAAGATTGTTGTGTTTGTTATTTCATTCATAGGCTCTATATGCTAGTACTTCAATTTCTACTGGAATGAAAGGTGCAACTAAGGCTATGGTGGCAATGAACAAGGTATGCATTTTAACTCTGGCATTAGCTGATAGCATTTCAGTGTTGCCATTTAGAGACTGGCTGAAGTAATATGTTTATCTTCTTTTTCCCCAGAAAATGGAACCAACAAAGCAAGCTAAAGTGATCAAAGAATTCCAGAAGCAGTCAGCACAAATGGACATGACAGTAATAATTTATGTTTCCCTAGAGTATTTTCTTTTGTTCATAATTTCACCATGTAGTTGTATGATTTGTGTGCAAGTTCCTGTTAGAAATAAAAGTAATTAGTAATTACTAGATCAAATTTACTGGGAAATCTTCAAATTAGATATTACTTAAAACTCGAGCTAGTTGCAATCTTTCAGCTCCTGCTTGGGTTAGGGTTGTGGGACAGATATCTAACCTGTGATTGGACGTGGGTTGTATTTGTAGCTTAAAATCACATAATATACTCTGTCATTTATTTGCTTCTTTAGATGTGAAACTTGAAATATACTAATGAGATTACTTAATTTCACTGTTCTCGAACCAACTAAAGTATCATGTAAAGTTTTGACATTTATGTGATAGGATGTGTTCATTTGTGTAAATTTACAGTTCCAGTGTCCTTCTTGAAGAGTCTATCACTGTTTTAGCCTATAATGTGTCATTTACCAATTTGTAATTCACATTAATGTCCCTACAGATCGAGATGATGTCTGAGTCTATTGATGAGACATTAGACAAAGATGAGGCTGAAGAGGAGACGGAGGAGCTCACTAACCAGGTGAATATTGACATCATCGTTCTTTCTCTTTGAAGTTTTCTCTACCATGCATGTTTTTTAATTTTCATCGTCTATTGTTCATTTGTAGGTTCTTGATGAGATTGGTGTGGATATTGCATCTCAGGTTGGTTTGTTTGAGATTTTGTTCAAATAACATGAATGTTTCAAACTGTCACATTATCCCTCTCACTCATTATTGTTTTATAAATTTGCAGTACTGTATCAATAATTTTAATGATTTTTTTTTTCATTAAACAGTTATCCTCGGCTCCAAAAGGCCGGATTGCGTCAAGGAATGCTTCTAATGTTGTGACGGCTGCTCCTAAAACTACCACTACTAGGTATGTACCTCGTTCCAAGCTTGTTGAAAGTTTATAAATTAATTATGATTTAGAATAACAAATTTCAATGGTAAGTCCAAATATTTTTTGTTTTACAACAAAAACCATTGTCACTCTTTTTGTTGGGTTATTTAATCATTTATCTGTGTAATGGTAGTAGCAAAGAGAGAGATTAAAATTTCAAAGCAATCCACATTTCTCTAACAATAGTTATTATCCATATGCAGATCTGAATCTGCTGATGTTAAGGATCTTGAAAAGAGGCTGGCCTCTCTTCGACGCATCTGATCTGGAATGCGTAGCAGTCAGCCTTGTTCAGTTTACATGTAAATTTTCTAAAAATATATATAATGGATTTGATGAATGAAAGCCGGAATTGTATTGCTATAGATTGTTATATCTATTTTAGTTACTAGTGAAGCGAACGGACTTGTAAAAGCATGAACAGACGAAAAATTACCTATTCAGATGCTTTTTCTTGGTTTGTAGATCTTTTCTGAAATCAAACAGTTGCTATGGCCTTGTGGTTAACTAGTAGGATATATATGCATCTTTCTCTTGTAGATCTCATTTCTTTTGTGAATTTTTCAGTACCTACCAAGAAAACTGAGCTTGTTGAATTTAGGAAAGTGGGTTCTATAGATGAGTTAACAAATTTTTCCCACCCAAATAACAGCTTGATGATACTTTTCCATCCGTAGATTTTTATTATCATTTTACTATCCAAATTTATATTCTGACGCAACAAAGAGTATGCTCGACTCAGGTTGTTAGGGCTTTTGAAGAGGAGAGACTAATGAGTCTTTTGGTGATGGAATGTTGGATTTCGGTGGTTAGTATTGATCGGAATTTGACTTAGGAGGGGTTGTTGCACAAACTCTAATCACTCAATTGTCGACAATTGGCGGGATTGGCGGGTTTGACGAAAATAGGGTTTGAGAGATTTTGGTGAGTGATGATTGGGGAAGAGAATGATGGTGTTGTGGGGTTGCAACGATGTTGTAATCAGAAACAGAATATAAATTTGAGAATGGTGGTGTTGTGGGGTTGCAACGATTCTGAAATTGGAAACGGAATATAAATTTGAGAATGGTGGTGTTGCAACGATACTGAAATTGGAAACGGAATATAAATTTGGATAATAAAATGGTATTTTTAAAAGTCAGTGGGTGGGAAAGTGTTATTAAACCATTATTTGGGTGGGAAAAAGTGGTTTACTCCTCTGTTTTAAAAACCGGATTGGACCAGCCGGTCCAACCAGTTGGACCGTGACCCGAGGCCTTCTTCGAGTCGGCTCACTCTTTTTAACTATTTAAAGTTTAAAATATAACAAACACACCCCTGATTATTACCATCAGTCCCTAAAGGTTTTAAATCTAGCAAACACACCCTCTGGCCAAATGCAAATCGGCAATGACCTCCCCTTTTCTGACGACCTTCCACCTTCCCTTACTGTCGGAAACCACCTTCTGAGTTCTGACTTTCTCCGGCGCTGTCACGCTTCATCTCCAGTCGCCGCGTGACGTTTCGTCGTCCATCTTCGTCGCGAGATTTTTCTTCCATTTCCCGACGTCAATCGGCCTTCTCCGGCATCGATAGGCTTCCTCAGCCACCGATCTACCTTCTCCCAAGCTCCCTTGCCGTCGTTCACGAAGATCTAGTCATCTCACCAAAAAAAGCAACCGCGACCAGTGACTTTACCACCGATCTGCCATTTTCCGGTGATGCCTCTACTTGCTAGCTGCCGATTCACCCTCCCCATCATCCGATCTACCCTCCCTAGTGTGTCGCCGCTGCTCTTCCAATCGATCGTCGATTTGCACTTGGCCAGGGTTGTGTTTGCTAGATTTCAAACCTTTAGGGTCTGATGGTAATTATTAGGGGTGTTTTTGTTAAATTTTAAACTTGTCAAACCATCAGTTCAACCAACGGTCCAATCGGTTGGACCGGTTGAACCGTGACCCGGCCATCAGAGCGGTTTGCCCTCCGGTCCGGTTTTTAAAACAATGGTTTACTCTTCTATAAATATTCTTCCATGTGATGCAGCAGATAATATAATTTTATGAGAAATACAATGACATATGTTAATCACATATTTATTAAATTTTCCCTTTTATTTTTTCATCTTCATGATCCATGAATAAATTACTTATTAATATTCATCAATAACCATCACTATAAGTAGTTTTGAAAATTAATCGTACATGTTTTTATTTTATTTGATGGTTTCATCATGTCAACTCTGTTTTAAAACCTGGACCGGGCTGGCCGGTCAGATCGGAATGGGCAGTCTCTTCGGTTTGCTTTAGGTTTTAGGGGGTTTTTTGTTATTTTTCAAACTTATGGGGACTAATGTGGCGTGTTTTGCAATATTTCAAAACTTTAGGGACTAACTGTTATTTGGGGCATTTTTGAAATAAATTAAAATTTCAAGGCCTAATTGGTAATTTTTTGCGGTATTTTCGTAATATACTAAAATTTAAGGGACTAGTTTACAATTTTTTAAAACTATTTTTATTGTTGACATCATCGGTTGACCTGTGACTCGATCAACTTATTGGGTTTCACAATGGATCGGGTTTTAAAACAATACATGTCAACGAAGTTGTCCCATGTAAGTGAACGCCTCAAATGAATAGCTGAAATCAAGCAATTAAAATTTGTAACAAAAACAACTCAAGGATGAGTTTAATCTATATATTTTCATCAAATAAAAACTCTTTTTACAATTATTGTTCCTTATTTTACGATTACAATTATCTTTTGACTAATTGGGGAAGGCGATAGATCTACTAATGAACACAAGCCTTATTGTAAACATCTAAAACAATAAAAATAAGAAACTATTACGAAATTGGAAGTGATTTAAATGAATAAAAATGGTTGTAAAAAATAAGGTACTACCTCATCAGTATTAGGGGTGTTTGGTTCCAGGTACCTTGTATTTTTTGAAGGAACCGAAACTGGAATCGGAACCGACGGTTTTGGTTCCGGTTCCTAGGTGCCCAGAACCAAAACCGGATCTGGAACCTGTAATAACGGTTTTGGTTCTGGTTTTGGATACCCTGTAAAATTATCATTACCCACCAAAAGTTTTAAAATGGCAAAAAACCCTTAAAAACTTACAAATACCCCCCCACCTGGCACTTGTTAACAAAAATAAAATTATAAATTCAAAATTACAAACTCCATTACTTTGTAAAGGTAGATTCTCAAAAGTCAAACCAACTTACTTTAAATGTTATGAAATATAAATACATTATTTTTTCTACAAAAGTTTTTATTAGCCCCCCTATTCTTTAATTTTATTTTATATTAGTCTCGGTTCCCAGTTTCAGTTTCGGTTCCTATAGTTAGGAACCGGAGCCAAACCCCAGGTACTCGCTGGTTATGGTTCTAATCGGTTCTTTTGAACACCTCTAAATTCAGTATTACGGACCAATACATATATAACATGATATTAGAAGTGTCTAAAAAGCTGCTTAACAAATGCAAGATTTTCAATTACAAGAGCAACTGAAAGTGTATTTAGTCTCTTCTCCTTCGGATCCTACGCCTTCTCCTTCTTTGCCTTCTGTCCCGTTCAGCTTCTGAACTTGATGACTCTGATTCTGATTCTGAAGCAGGTTCTGCTGCTGCATGATAAGCCACGGCATCTTTTTCAGGTATTCTCGCAAATTAATTGGAACACCACCAAGCCCAATGGACGTGAAGAAGTTAATGCAAAATAATGTGTTCTTCGGATTATCCTTTGAGGAAAAGGGATTCATACAAGTCTTCCACTCTGGGATCCGTGATCCTCTCCTTCAGCAATCGAATCCCAAGCTCCCCCAACAATTCCTGAAACAGAAACTTCAAAAATGTCCTGGAAGAAGAATTTGTATCCTCCTCAGTCAAAAGTACATACCCCATAACCCGCCATGGCAGAGCATCTACACCCAGTAAATCGGCAAAAAACCATTGCAACATTAAGTAATTTCTTCATTTCCAGGCGATGAACCATTGACTATTGTTGGACGAAGCATTTCTCGAAGTTTTGTATACAGATTTTTTTGATAATGCAAAACCGCTGCCCCAAAAAAGCATAATGCCTAGAATTATAAGTTCACTCTTGACTGCAACACTCCAATATCATACAGCAAATCTCCATCTCTTGACCCGGGTCGAGTTTGTGGCCCGCCTCTTCGAAATCTTTACTGGACATGATTGTTAGATGGATCGTCCTCTGAAGATTCACGAGGTTCGTTTCAGTTTCATCTTCTCTCCATCTCTACGTCCCTCGTATTTTTTTCTTTTGCTTCCTATTGGCTTCATCTCTCTCCAACTTCTACACTTTCAAAATTTAAGAATGCTTTGAAAATCAGAGTACCTTAACGAGAATAACACTTGGGATGCGTTTCGTTCATAGAATATTGTATTACTGAAAAAATATATTACCTTGACGTAGTGTTTGGTTCGAGGTCATAAAAGATAATATTGGTAATCTATCTTTTAATCTGACAATTACCACGTTTAGGTGTCAAGTAATCAAAGATTCTAGTAATCCACCAATACCAATAATGATTACTATAGGTAATATAGATGGTAATTCGATAATCGTCTGAAAGGGTGTTATTTTTTTAGTTACCGGGATAATCTACTGTTCATACTAATTTTACCCTTAATTAATAAACATTTTGGACACAAAGGCTCTCATATGTCTATTAAATAACAATTAGCCCAAATGTGCGAAATGATATTTTTAACCTCATAAAATAATTTTTTGGATAAAAGTACCATACTATTTACATGAATAATACCCAAATACCCTCAGCCACCCAAGACGACTGTTGGCCGTTGTCAGCAGTTATTAGAACGGCACGCAACCGGTTGGATTTGGCCGACTGTGCGCCATCTGGCTGTTTTTGGCCATATTGAACACGGGAAACAACCAGTTGGCCATGGATTTGGTAAGAAACGGCTAGAACTAATAGCCATTTTTGACCAGATCTAGGGCTGTTGACGGCCACAAATATAACTGTCAATGGCCAGATCCATGGCCAATTGGTTGTTTTCAGCCTTCGATTTAGCCATTTCCAGCTAGATCGACGCATGGTCGGCCAGATCTAGCTAGTTGTGCACTGTTTTGCGACTGTCGATGGTGGTTGGTGGTGGTGGTGGTTGGCGGCCGACAATCATCTTGGATGGATGAGGGTATTTTGTTAAATTTTAAACTTTTGTTGTTGGGGGGTATTTTAGCTAAATTCTCAAATGTAGGACTTTAAAAATAATACTCTAAATAATAATAATAATAATATTAAAAAGAAAGGGCAATTCAGTAAAAACCCCTCCGATAATATTTTATTAATTTCAACCAAAGATATTAATTATTTATACTCACCAATATAACCAAGCATATTAGTATAACATTCCCTATTCTATCTCAGTGGTAATTCTATCTTTTCAATAATAAAAAATTTCCTGAGCCAAACGCTACAAAAAAGTTCAACTTCCTTATCCTACACCTT